CGTCTGAGTCTCTTCATTTACATTTTCAGGGAACATCCTAATCAGAGCTTTAATTAAGGAGACAAGATTTCAGATTTCCTCCTGTAGGCTGAATGGGCAGGGCTAAGCTGCTGTAGGATGATTGGGCGGGGCTAAAATGCTGTAGGCTGAATGGGCGGGGATAAGATGCTGTCGGCTGAATGGGCGGGGCTAAGTTGCTCTAGGATGAATGGGCGGGGCTAAGCTGCTGTAGGCTGAATGGGCGGGGCTAATATGCTGTAGGCTGAATGGGTGGGGCTAAGTTGCTCTAGGGTGAATGGGCGGGGCTAAGTTGCTCTAGGATGAATGGGCGGGGCTAAGCTGCTGTAGGCTGAATTGGCAAATCCGATCTTTTTCCTCATGTGCGACTTAGATGTGTGTCTGTGTGTGAATGTGAACAGAAACAAACTGAATCTGACATTTTAAATTCCGATTTGAGACGCTTTTATATGCGGTACTGAAATCCGATACACATCCGATCTGCGGCAATGTGACTAAGATCCAGATCGGTATTCATGCGGCTTTTTCGTCAATCCCACTCGACATTCGTCATAGTTTCGCGCTGCTGAGTCTCATAAACATTTAGTCTGATGTTTCTGGGCTAAAATATTATTAGAGACTCGTCGCAGCCGCTCTGTGCGCACAGAGGTTTCTAAAGAAAAGTCCGACCGCGGCCGCAGCGTCAGAGAACCGTCAGAACTCTGAAAGCGAAGTTTAAAGAATCCGAGGACGCGGACCAAAGAAGTGACCGCGCCCTTTTTACGGCTCGAACACATTCTGGGTGATGAGCCCAGCTGTCAGTCAGTGAAGCTTCATGATGGCTCCTGTGATGCTGGTGAAGATGAAGCTGATCCTCCGGGAGCGACTGGCGTTCGCTGGCGGTCGTGATTGTTCACCTCTGGATGAGCCGTGAAGCAGCGTGACGCTCTGTTCTTTTGCGCATGCGGGTCGGTTTAGGAGCTGATCTGTTCAGACTGATGTCACTTATAGTCCACATTTAAAAGATAATCTGAACAAACAAAAAATCAGGTTTGGGCCACTTTTACCTGCTGTGTGAGCGCAGCCTGAACTGCAGCGGCCTGAATGTGTGTTGTAAATGTAAATGTGGTTTTCATGACATCACATGATTTCAAAACAGGCTGTTTTGCTGCTCAGTGTCTGTATATGGGCTGAATGTACTGAGGGGTAAACGGTGCACTTTAAGCAGGAATCCGGGTCCAGCCAGGTGGAACAGTGGCAAGAAAAACAAAGTTTGTAGAATAAAAAAAATAAATTATATGAATAATGAATAATAGTAAATAATATAATAATAATAATAATAATAATAATACGTAGTGAATGAGAAATGAAGTGAGCCTAATCAATGAGCAGAAGTGTTTACATTAACAAATGACACATATGAAAAGCACGTGTTGGTATGAAGAACATCAAACTGTTAATGTTTAAAAAGGGAGGAAATTCAGTTTTCTGTGATATGTCCCTTTAATCCCGTAGAGAAGTCCCGCTTCTGTGCAGTAGGGGGCAGGAGAGAGTCTGAGCCCTTAAAACTACGGCTCTCATGAGCATAGATGTTCATGAGCCTTTGCGGCTACGTAGCCCCGTCCCGTGACAGGCTGTCACCAGGGAGGAATGAGTTCAGAGCGCCCCCTGCTGTTTGCGTTCAAAGTCAAGTGTGGTAATGATTTGGAGGCGCTGCGCATCACAGGCTGTGACGTGTCGCCTCCATATTCAGTTCTATTTGACACTACATTCATGATCTGAATAATAATAATAATAATAATAATAATATGTTTCATTTATACAACGCCTGCTGGAAAAGCACCATTAGAAACCATTAGGATTAAAACCTAATGATTTTGCTTTCTGATGGGAATTGGCTTAATGGTTTCCAGTAGAGACCACTGGCTTCCTGTAGAACACCTTTACATCCCATTAGGAAACCATCAAATAGAATCAGCCGTTAGTCACATGTTAAACCATTAGGATCCTTTACTTCAGCAGTAGAACACAGAGGGAGTGTGTATGGCGGAATAACATCACGGCTGTGATTTGGTCGCCGTAGATCATCACAGCCGTGATGTTATTGGCGATAACACACTCCTCGAGCGTTCTATTGCTTTAATACAACAGTTAAATAAATACAGTAATAAATTAATAAACTGGGCCGTGAACGCGGCGTTTAATATGTTTTAATGTTCGCAGTTCCTTCACCAAATTATAGTTCCTTAACGAGCAGCTTCACAGATCTTCATTCCGAGATGCTGCGTTGTCTGCTGTTCTCTATCTGAGGCAATACGTCTGCACGTCCGCCATGTTGGAGCGGTCAAGATCCCCTCGTGAACAGATTCACTTGTATTGAGGGACGAAGAGTCTCAGGATTAAATCAGACACAACTTCCTTATTACTCAACCGATTTTCACCCAATCTGTTTAGTTATAATGCTCAGACACAGATTAATCCAGGCTGCTCGGATCTGCTCTCGGTAGCTTTTATATCTTTAATAACTGATCGTGATAATTAACCGTCCGGACCAGCAGGAAAGTATTCAGTCTGCACCTGACGTTAAAAACCGAGTTTAGCGCGAGAAACACAATCAGACAAATCAGCAAATCCATCAATGTGTGAATCACTTCTAATCTTAATACACATAAAAAGAAAATAAACCCCCAAAACACAGTATTTGCCACTATTCTCCAGCTTCTTATTCGAGTTTTCAACACTAAATGGTGCAGCTGTTACTTTCTGGTACCTGAAGCTGCACCATTTAAGGTGGAACGGGAAAACCTCGAAAAAAAATCTATTATGAATATCTACACGGTTTAAGGAGTACTAGAACTTACCAGCTACAAAGCTTTAACTATCACTGTAAATAAATAACTACTACATAAAGTTAAGATCCTGAATAGACTATTAAATGAAATAAGCTTAATATAAAACCAGAGGAAAAACAATCACATCAACAGGTTCTCTGAGCCTCATTAACCACACATATCTACACAAACATCACACAAACAATACGCATCACACAGTCATGAGTGTGGATCACTGCGTTCCCTCCGTTATATAATCCTGTCCCTCTTTCTGAGTGTGATATTCCTGAAATAGAGTAATTTCGGACAGTGTCTTTCTTAACCTGCCGCTCTGTAATGGTACTGAATGCAGTTCAGCTTCTCAACCAATCAGCTCGCGTGGCCGAAACTAACTGTTGTATAAACTAACTAATAAAAAAATAACATCAAAACTAACATTTTTACACGAGATCATAAAGAAAAGGCAACATAAAGAACGGACTACAAAGTCTGTCGCGCTACTGACGTCACTCTCACGTCGCACTAGGCGGCGCCTGGCAGCATCTATGGGTATTGTAGTTCAGTTTGTACTGTCAGAAGATTCAGCAAAATGTACTGCCTTTTATACGGTGTTCGTATCTGCTGTATATATGTATACTGTATGTACACTGTAGGTGCGACTATATGGTCGGAAAAGTTTCTCATGTGATTTTAATCCGTTATCAAAAATTCCTGAGTCACTGGCGTTTCGAAATGTTTTGATAACCAGCGGATGGCGCAGTTCTTAAACACGTGTTTGTGCGTCGGTAGTGAATAACTGATCGATGAGCTTTGCTGGTCTATTCTGAGTGTTTAATCAGGCTTTAGCGCGCTGTGTGTGTTTTGTGCTCATTGATGCTCTGGGTGCTCTGAGCCTCCTGTGCGCTAGGGGGCAGTAAGCAGCAGTCCGGAGAACGCCCTTCCCTTTGAAAACTACAGCTCCCATGAGCCCGTGAGGCTGTGCAGCTCGGTCTCCATGACAGTGTGTTATTGTTGTTGACGGTCGGAGTCGGTGTGTCCGGTTAAGCGAGCGGACCGTGCGCGCTGAGCGGACTCGGACAGGTCCGGAGATGAGCGGCAGAGCTGCGGGCTCTCCGGGCTTCAGCAGCGGGGGAGCAGGCGGAGCTGTTGCCGGGCTGCAGTGATGTTAGGCCGGGGAGAGAGGAGCGGAGAGCCGCGGGGAGAGCAGCCGGAGGAGCGGAGAACATAAACACTCAATAAACTCTCAATGATGATCTCCAGATACAGCAGGAAGCCGGTGGAGCACAGCTTACAGATGTGAGTGAGCAGAGATCAGTGAGTCTCTGTTAGCAGAGCTGACAGCTGTTACAGATGTTACAGATGTTTGTGTTCTCAGAATGGCTGAAGATCCAGCTGCTCACACTGAGACTAGATACACACAGATACATACATAGATAGTCAGATAAATACGCAAATATACAGATTAATAGATAGACTGATAGATACACAGATCGATGGGTAACGTAGATGATATGGATATATAGGTTGATTGAGAGATGGATGGACGTGCTTAGATACTTATTTGGATGATAGATGAATATATGATCAGAGAGACAGACTGATACATCCATATGATGCATCAATAGATAGACGGATAGATGGATGGATAGACGAATAGTTAGACAGATAGATAGATGGATGGATAGACAGATGAATAGATAGACAGATCGACAGAGATGGATATACAGGGGGATAGATTGACAGCTTGATAGATGGATGGATAGACAGATAAACAGATGGATTGATATATAGATTAATAGATAGATAAATAGATGGATAGATAAATAGACGGATGGATAGACAGATAGACAGAGGGACTGATATATAGATGGATGGATGGATAAATAGACAGATGGATAGACGGATGGATCAACATAAATAGACATGCATAGATAAACAACTTGATAGATGGATAGATAGACTGATAGATGGATGGGTGAATGCATAGATAGACAGATAAACATAAAGATGATTCATGGATGAACAGATAGACAGACAGACAGACAGACAGATAGATAGATAGATAGATAGACAGATAGACAGACAGACAGAAGGATGGAGTGTTTACTCTTTATGCTGCGGCTCTACAGTGTTCAGTTGGTCAGTTTATTCAGGATCACTGCTGCTGTCCAG